TTCTTTCTTCTTTCTTTCTTTCTTTCTTTTTTTCTTCTTTCTTTCCTCTCTCTCTCTCTCTCTCTCTCTCTCTCTCTCTCTCTCTCTCTCTGTCTTTCTTTTCTTCCTTCCTTCCTTTCTTTTTATTTTTACATGGTTTATTTTTGTTGTGTTTTTGGTACCAGGAAGCAAGCTCCCACTTGGCTCCCACTTGCCAGGCAGGTGCTGTGCTACTGTGCTATCCACTCAGCCACCAAAACACATTTTCACTTGTAGTAAAACTGCACAAACTCAATTGATCCAATTGTCCTGTGAGTAATAGCCATGCACTGAGCAACATGTTAAAAGGACTGTCATGTTTAAGAGCAATCATTCACTACTGAACAAAAGCAGGCAGATCTAAGATAGAAGATGACACTTAGAAGTATGTCTTGTGTGCAATGTAACAAGCTACTGTTGAATACCTACCATCTAATGTTTTAAAAATTCTACACCATTTTTGAGGTCTTGCCTATTATTTTTCTATTCTCTTTAAAATAAACATTGAAAAATGACTTTTACCCTGAGAGCAGGATATGGTTGCAATCATACACAATGATTAAACACAAAATTAAATCTTCATAGTCCTGCTGCTCAAAACAACAAGAAGATCTACTTCAGGATAATAACAAGAGCAGCAAAATTTGGAGGAATGTACAAAAGGAAAGATCCATGTTATGGTGCCTCAAATGTTAGCATAACTCTGTACAAAACTCTAGTTGATATATGAATATGTATTGATGGGACAGTTGCCTGGTAGTTCCTTTGCTTAAGCCTAAAAGAACTGAACTGGGTTTTCTGAATATTATTATGGAGTCAAATTAACTATCTAGTGAAAGACAAATACTCTATACTCTGTTATGTTCCTGTTATGGAAATGTAAAAGAATCAGGCTCTACAATGTAGGAGAGTACAATCCAAACCTGCCAAAATATAAGTAAACAGGTAAGTGGAACTCATCCTCGAGTAAAAAGCAATCTGTAGTGCTAAACCCACAACAATAGCCCATACATTGTAATTAGCACACAATGATTTTAAAAGCTGATTTTTTTTCTGTGATCAAAGGAGAGAACAAAAAATGAACGAAGAATATAACTGTGGTAATTACTTTTCTCTCATTGCTGAGATAAAATACCTGATACCCAAATTTAGGGAAAGAAAAGTCTCTTTAGCTCACAGTTTGTGGAGATCTCAGTCCGTACTAAGCTAGCTCCAAAGCAAGGTGGCATGACAGATGGGCAGGCTTTCATGGTGAGGGAAGCCAGCAAAATCAAGAAGAGCTAAAAAGGGGAGAGTCTCTTTTCCTCCCTTATATTGTAAGCAAGTATGCTAGACCATCTCCATGCCCTCCTCTTCCTCAGACTGAGGACATTTGCAAAGTGAGGATGCTGGCCTCCTGCTGAATCACTTAATTAAGCCTTTAATCTTCTCAAATTGACATAATGAATCATTAAGTACATCTTTGGGTGTTAACATCCACTCTAGAGCATATCCTCCATACTCCAGGATGCAGAACTGCTGAGTATTTTAGTTAAGCTTTTAAACTTCTCTAGTTAACACAATGTGTCAACCATTAAAATTACATATATAGGGAATCCAATAGATGTTCTAGAGCAATGTCCAAATTGTTTTAAAAAATGATATATGGCCCCCACACAAATCACTGGTTTTCTAGGGAGAGCAATAACAAGTTTGTCCCAAGGAATGAAATCATGGTCAGGTTTCATGGTGCATGCCCATAATCCCAGTTACCCAGGAAGCTAAGGAAAGAGGATCCCAAGTTCAAGACTAGTCTGTGCAACTCAGCAAGTAAAAATGTAAAAGGATGGGGGCTAAACTGAGTGTTTCCTAGACCCATTCCTCAGTACATAAAAGAAAAAGAAGGGCCAGCCAAAAATCTCAGCAGATTAAAGCGCCTGCAAGCAGACACAGTGTCCAGGGTTCAATCCTGGGCCTGCCATGTCATCCCCTGATCTGCTCCTGTCCTGGGGTAGATTGAGACTGGGCATGGAGGTGCACTCCTGTAATCCCTGCATTTGGGAGGCTGTAAACAGGAGAATCACTCCGAGTCCGATCTAGTGGTGAGACCCTGAACACCTTGT